CGGGGGCGGGCCGGCCGGGTGGGTGTCGTCCTACCGCCCTCCGACGTCCTTCGAGTCCCGCCCCGCCGATGCTGATTGGCTGGACGCGCACCCAAGGGGGGGAAGTTTGAATAAAATACAAGAGCGTGGCCCCAGTGGCGAGCGCGAGAGAATCTCCGAGAGGCCTTCTCAAAGCCAAATTGTCTCTGGCGCGCCTTTTCATTTCCATCTGACAGAGAAAAAAAAATCCAAAATACAAATCGGACTGGCGTTAAGTATGAGGGGAATAAAGATGACAGCAGTCCGGGCCGCCTCGTCGCTGCTGCCGCTCGTGCTGGTCGTGATGCAGTCCGGGGCCGGGCTGTGCGCGCGGAGGTTCCGCGGCGGCCGCAACCCGCAACCGCGACGCGCGGCGGCGAGCGGCAGCCGGGGTGACGCCGCCGAGAGCTTCCCGCTGGATTTCACCGCCGTGGAGGAGAACATGGACAACTTCATGACGCAAGTGAAGAACCTGGCGCAGTCGCTGTACCCGTGCTCCGCGCAGAAGCTGGACCACGACATGCGGCTCCACTTTGTGGACAACGCTTCGGTCACGTGCAACGACGGGAGCCCGGCCGGGTACGTGAAAAGCGGGCCACCCGCGCGCCGACGGCACCTGCGCCGCTCGCCTTTCTCCGACGACTTACGCGAGCGAGCTCCACTTTTTCTCAAGAAAGTTGTCCTTGACTCGACTTGATGACCGAGTTTGGGAGGCCCCCCCCTCCCCGAATTGTGGCTCAGGGTCCAAAAGGGGTCTGGTTCCACTTCAATGGAAGTCCGTTTGGGCTCAGCGATGGGCAAGGCCTTTTCTTGCGTCCTTTTCACGTTTCGCAGTCTGTCGGCGCGTGGCTTTTCTGACCTCCGAGTGGGGCGCGGGGTCTGCCGTCCTCCACGCGCGTCCGCGTCAGCTTTTGTTCGCTCGCATTGCAAGCCATCCCCGCCTGTTGCCAATCTTCTGGCTCGCTCCCCGACAGGTTGAGGGGTCCTCGCACTTCTCATCATATTCCGGTCATATTGGCGCCGCTCCTCGGCGTCGCTCATGTGTGGACGTTGAGGAGGGAGTGCCGCGAAAGAGTTTGGCGTCGATGCGGGGCGGCGTGGGAAAGAATGCGAGCCGTCCGTCCCCAACATTCGGCCGAGCGAAATTCCCTCCCGGCTCCTTTGTATCCATGTGCCGAGAATTTCCAAAGCCGAGGGCTTTTGGATTCGAGCTCGCGATACTCAAGTCACGCCTGCCGCGTTCTGTACGTCGGTGTTCCCGTTTTGGGGATTGCGAGCCTTGAAATCACTCTCGGACGTCCCTGTCGCTCGAGCGCAGGAAGCCTCGCGGCGTGCGCGCTTCCGGCCTGATTTCAACTCAGACGAGTCGTGCCACTCAATTCAAGACGGCGTTATTCCTCTTTGGAGTCACTCGCGTCGCTTGCTTGCTCACTTTTTCTTTGTTTGTTTTTCAATCAAAGCTTTGAAGTGCCATCTGAATGGAGGACAAATGATTGGAGACTGCGAGCGTCTGCGGGCCGAATGATATTTGGCCTTGAGGTTTGCTCGGCCGGCGCGGCAAGACGGATGAAATGCTTTCACGACCCACCATAGCCACAACCAAGAACGTTCGACTTCGCTTTTGTTTCCGCAAAAATGGGCGCTCGCCGGACACTTGATCGCGTCGTCGCCGTTTGGAGGCGCTTTGGATTGGACGCCGCGCGGTTATTGCGATCGTTCTTTGCTGGAGCGCAACGGCGATGCGCGGCCGTGACTGAAAAGCCTTTGCTCAGATGCCTCGTCGACCCGCGGCTTTCGCGATAACCCTTCTGCATCGTTCCTCCGTTAGCAGCGGGAGCGCGCCGAAGCCGTCGGCCCTTGAGAGACGCGGCGGCGCGGAAAAGCGCTTCGCCGCAGGCGGTCCTTTTTGTATTCGGCTCTACGTTTGGCTGTCGGGTAAGACGCGCGGCTCCCGTTTGCGGACAAATCAAGTCACTTAGTACGTGTGCGGAAACGTCGGATTCATCTTCGGGAGCTTGAGCCCGCGCCGGCTCGGTGATTGCAAGCGCTCGGAAGTGAGCGTCGCCGACTGCGGCTTGCCCGTCGAAAGCCACGAAATATGAGGCGGCATCTGAGCAAAGGCGTTTTTACGCGGTCCTGACGCGCGTTGGGCCGTCGCGAAGGTTTAGTCACGGCCGGTCGCCCGCCTCGTCGACACGCCCACGACCGCTCGCCTGGAATGGGTTGCACGGGACCACGTGGGTCTGAAGCTCGAGCGACTCACGCAATCCAAAATGCCAATCGACGTGGTCATCGGTGTTGTGGTGACATCGCTGCCGAAGAACGATGAGCTCTAAGGAACGTGGCGGCGCCTGGCCCGCTCCTGGCCGCGAGATAAGCCGCATCGCTGATCTTCCCTCGCGATCACCGTTTTGCCGTTGCTGCGGCCCGCCGTCACCTTTTTGATGAGGATGTACTTATTGATTGATTTGTTTCAGAAGATCGGATTCAACAAAGCAACGGGATGCTAACGTTCAAGATCGAAGTCTGAATAAGCGACACCAGAAATTGCGAAGGGTTCACGGCCGTCGGTTATCGCTCGCCCCCTCACCCGCCCCGAGAGTTGGAAAGCGCAGCATATCGACGCTGCGATGCGTCCGTTTCAAACACGCCGCTCCAAAAACTAAAAGCGATCATGTCACTGGAGATCGTACAGGAGCCAACGATGTGTTCTTGGATGTCCCTCAGGTATTACCTGAAAGAATCCAGAGGAAGCAGACGCTGGTTGATTTTCCTCGAGGGTGAGTACAAAGCATGGCTATGCCCCGCCCCCTCTCGATGGCGCTCAGCCGGAGGCGGTTTTTGGGAATAACTTGCTCTTTGTGCACCCTCCGCGCAGGCGGCTGGTACTGCTTCAACAAAGAGAACTGCGACAGCCGATATGAGACCATGAGGAGGCTGATGAGCTCGTCCAAGTGGCCTCAAAGCAAAACCGGTCGGCCTCGCCTTACCTGTCCGATATTTGATGCTTGTTCTTCCAGGGGGCGGACGCTCATCCGAATTGCCCGCCCAGGTCGACGACTGAAATATTGGTTGCGAATCAGGGATCCGGAGCGCGCCGCCTCGGTTCAAGCCGCCGCCCGGTACTGCCGGAACGACGGCAAACTCGCCGGAAACGCCGGCGCCTCGGACGAGTCCGCTTTCTCGGTTTGCTGGCGGGCCCGCGCGAAGCGACGCCGACTCCGTTGAATGGCTTCACGTGCTGCAGACGGCAGAGTCACCGGAAACGCGGCAAACTTGGAACCGTTCTGTCCATCGGTTCACCAAATTGGCCCGCTGTGTTTTGAGCGTCGGGTCACATCGGTTCGGTGACTAAAGTCAGAGGCCGACTCGAGCGAATGAAGTGAAGCGGGCCGCTTTAGCGAGTGGCTTCCAAGACCTCACTTTCACCGCCGCAACTTCTCGCACGACATCCTCCAAATGAACGACAAAGCAACACGGTTCCCTCTCATTTGAAACCGTCCGTCGAATGGCAGAAAGTTTAAATGCTGGTTTCGGGTTTTTTTTTTTGCATGAGCGTTCTTTTGCCGGAGCGACTTCCAGGTCCGTTCAAAAAGGTTTGGCGGAAAGCCGCTCACTGACAGCGGCCGTGATTCGCTGTTGAGACTGCGAGCAAATCACTCGCGTGCGTGGCGCAGGTCGACCTGGCGCCCGCCGCCCCGAGAGCGCGGACGTCTCCGTCTTTCATGGCGGCGTAATAACTGTAATTGGCGCGGTAATGCCGCCGGCGAGGAAGAGGAGGGGCGTCCGGGAGCGCCGGAATGGCTCATGATCCGTGCGGGCGATGTGTCTGCGCAGGCACCGGGATCCTGTCGCCGCTGCCGGAGGAAAACCCTCACTGGTGGAACGCCAACATGGTGTAGGTTGACTCGTCTTGTTTGTTTGAAATCCTTTCCAATTCACCCGGTGACTTGGAATTTCGTTGCTCCAGGTACATCCCGTACTGCTCCAGCGACGCGTGGAGCGGCGCCACCGCCAAAACGGAGCAGAGTAAGTTGTTGCCCGACGCTCCAAATCAGAGCTCGGAAGGGAAACAAACGCCACAAAATATCTTTCTCTGCTGCGAGGAGGCGGCTACGCCTTTATGGGCTCGCTGATCATTCAAGAGGCGGTTAAAGCGCTGCTTCAGAAGGGGCTGGACAGCGCCAAGGTTCTGCTGCTGGCGGGGAGCAGGTGCGTTCGCCGGAGGGACCGCGCGGGCGTTCCAGGTCGCCGCCCCCGTCGCCGAACTGAAGATGTCCGATGCGATGTGCGCGCAGTGCCGGCGGGACGGGGGTGCTGCTGAATGTGGACCGCGTGTCGGAGCTCCTGGAGGGTCTGGGCCACGGCGGGATACACGTGCGCGGCCTGGCGGATTCTGGCTGGTTCCTGGACAACAAGCAGTACGACTTTACGGACTGCTTGGACGCGCTCAGCTGCGCTCCTACCGAGACCATCAAGAGAGGCATCAAGTAGGCACCCGCGAGTCGGACGCTTGACGCGGCGCTCGTCTTTATTTGATTCAAGCAAAGACGACGCTCTTTCGCCAACGAAGTGGAACGCTTAACCGAGCCGCTCACTGGTTTTTTGCGACTCAACGGTATCCCTCCCGACGGAGTTACTGGTTTTGGTGGCTGTTGGGGAGGCGAAGGACTGATTCGCTTAAGGAAATAACTGTAGACTAGATGGTGTGCCGGTCAGAGCACAGGTAGGAAGAGACAGGAATTCCAGGGGATGTTTCAATGTCCTTTACTGGGGGTGTTGAAATGAATACAGGGAAATAGAAGCAGTACAGGGTGATGTTGGTTGAGGAGGGCCGCTTGAAGGATGAGTGGGAATAAGGGGATGAATGAGTGTGGTTTGGGTGATTGAATGGGGGGGGGGGTCGACGAATGAAGAGGAATGGATGATTGAAGAGGGATCGAGTCTACAAATGTGAGAAAAGGAAACTTCAGAACATTCGTCATACTCCTGGATACAACCGAGGAGTAACAAATCAAATGCAAGGTAATGGCACCATCTAGGGGCCACATGAAGTAACTACATTTACATTTCATGAAACTAAGGCCGACACATATTTTGTCAACAAAATACACCCGGTCGTCTTCAGAACGGGAAGGAGCCACAAACGTCGCACCATTAGCACAACTTAACTTATAATTACAAACCATGCCTCTGTATTTAACTGGTAATCGCCGCGAAACGCGGCGGCCCGATGCTAACGTGCTAATGTGGCGCGAACGCGGCGGCCCGATGCTAGCGTGCTAATGTGGCTAACACACTCGCGAACACCAGTCGCAACTCATTAAACAAGAGAAATACACCTCATTGTACTCACGTTTCGGTCATGTACTCGAGGGCTTAGGGAATCGCCGATGAGGTAAACGGCACAAAGGAAATGAAAGGATAAAGGCTGAGATCAATAGGAACGGAATGACCTTGGTCAGGACGCAAACCCTGAACTGGCAGGTGCTGAAATAACGCGATACTTAAATGCGTCGGCACCAACGTCTCGCGATAAAAAAAAAAGAAATGAGCTGAGCCTTTTCTACAGTGGCACTCGAATCACTCGCGTTCGTCGTCTTCATCCGTTCTACGGCCAATGTGAGGGGAGTGGGACTCCAACCGGACGCTGGTTTTGCCAAATACTGAGCAGATGAGACGTGCTTCGGGCGGGTGGTGCATGTCGTGGTCCGGAGCTAAACGGACTCAAAGTTGAGTCGCTCATTCCACCCACACCAAAAAGTCTGCTTTCTGGTCACGTGACGACAAAAGGACGCAGCCCTTGAAGGGCGCGGTCATGTGCACGCAAGATTGGCAATCTGGCAAAAAAACAAACCAAAAACAAAAGCCAACCTTGTCGAGCCCATTATGCGGCTTCCTTGGCAAGTGCATAAACCGAGAGCCCTGGCAGCAACACTGTCAAACTCGGACAGGCACGCTCTCGGAGCTCACCCAGAGCCGATGATTTTGCAACTGAATCCGTACACCTATTCGGCGTGTCATCGAGTCGGCAGATTGGTCTTTCTTTTGCTATGCAAGCGCGCCACCCGCTGGACTGTTTAGGGAAGTGCCACACTTGGCCGCGGCGAATTGGCCACTGATCCCCGCGACGTCTTTGACCTCCTCGGCAGGTACTGGGGAGGAGTGGTACCGGAGAAATGCAGACAAGCCCACGAAGGAGAAGAGTGGAACTGCTTTTTTGGCTACCGAGTGTTTCCGTCCATCAAAAGTACGCTTCGGCCCTGCGCAAATCAAATGCACCCATCCACGGGGAGGATCGCGCTTTGAAATCGCCCCTCCGTATTTTGGCACTTTTAGGCCCGGTCTTTGTGGTCCAGTGGCTGTTCGACGAGGCCCAGCTGACCGTCGACAACATCCAGTTGACAGGACAGCCCGTGCAGGAAGGCCAGTGGCGCTACATCCAAAATCTGGGCGTGGAGCTGAGGAATACGCTCAAAGATGTGCCGTGAGTGAACGTCCTGGGTTTTGTCGGGGGCGGGGGGTGAAATGAAAAAGGATTGAAAAATGCCTTCCATTTCAGAGCGATGTTCGCCCCGGCGTGCCTGTCGCACGAAGTCATCACAAGAACGTGAGTTGACGGCGCCGGCCGCCGCGCGCGTTTTGCCGGGCTTGCTTGTGACTTAAGAGCGTCCTCTCGCGTCGCCTTCCAGCTACTGGACAGACGTGCAGGTCAAAGGCACGTCCCTGCCCCGCGCGCTGCACTGCTGGGACCGCAGCCTCCAGGACAACAGGAACAACAAAGCCCCGCCCAAAGGCTGCCCCGTGCACTTGATGGACAGCTGCCCGTGGCCGCACTGCAACCCCACCTGCCCCACCATCCGCGACCAGTTCACGGGCCAGGAAATGAACGTCATCCAGTTCCTCATGCACATGGGCTTTGACGTGCAGAAGATGGCCCAGCAACAGGGCTTGGAGCCCAGCAAGCTCCTGGGCATGCTGAGCAGCGGCAGCTAAAGGGACTCGCGCGAGCCAGCCCGCAAACAAAAAGCCCCGCGCCGCTCAACGTTCAAGCTCAAGCCCGAGTGGGGATGCGGCCGGTCTCTGCGGCCGGCGCCCCGTACCCGATACCTCCAACCGCTCTGTCGACCTTCGTCTTCCCTCTTACGACACACATCCTGTTCACTGGCGTACCTCAAAGCCCAAACCAAAGCAAACAAATCGGATTAGCGGCCGCGTACGATGGCCGGGGATATTTATTTGCGCACTTGGAAGACGCCCGGTACGCTTTGATTTGTACAAACGCGTTTTGGGAATACTATTAAAGCATCATAGCCGCAAATGGGGTTGAAAAGAAAATGACTGTGGAGAAATGCGGCCGAGTCCGAATTGACCGAGGCGAGACATCATCGCTCCGCAGATGGACGCGGACTGTGGCGGGCGTGAGCGCGTGCCGCAGTCTTTGCCAACTCGCCACTCTTTTACAACGCGTACTTAAGTAGCGGCTCGGGTTCCGCTGCATGTCGGAGCTGCTGTTTTGGTTCGCAACTGCGTTAAGTGAGTGTCCGCAACCTAACGGAGCGTTGGCACGGACGGCGCGTGAAGCGTGTACAATATTAGTCTGAAGTGGAACGAGCGCACCGTGCCGCTAATTGGCTCGAGGCATCAATTCCAGAGATGGCCGCGAGTCGAGCTCGATACGCTACACTTGTGCCGAACGACTCACCGCTGGGCGCGAGGAACGGGGCCACGTGCTGCAAAGACTCCCACCTTGTGAAACTAGTGATTCGTTCAAAAATCGGCATCCTTCCCCGTCGACTGAATTGAACTACAAACCACGGCTGCTCGGTACAACCGCGGGCCCTTTGGGGTCATCGGGATGAGCCACACACACACACACACACACACACCACAGTGCCATTTGATTCAAGTACCTCTTGAATCATCCCACTCAAGGCCCAAAGAACCCTCCGTTCAATGTGAAGGGAGACAAATATTGTGCATTGAGGACATTCCGAGTCTTTGTTTCGGTTCTTTCAAGTGCTCCTTGTGTCAACTCCGTGCTTCGATATCATCATAGAGATCATCTTTGAAGAGACTGGCAACGTTGTACGGACTCGTGTCTTTGGAAGGGCGCATTTTCCTCACACCATCCACAGAAGGAACGCGATTATTAATAATTTTATTCTGTAACATATTTTTCACAGAAGAAACTTCCACTACATCGGCTATTTGCATATTTATTTTGTTGTGTAAATCATATTTATAAGTGCTATTTTTCCCCGCAGAGAAGTTATTCTTTGTAAAATTGTAAATACATGGCTGGTTTGCCCCCCACCCCCATGTGTTGACTGCATGTCTTTGTGTTTGACCCGAAAGAGAAGACACAATACATACTACAAAGTAGACGTGTGTGTGTGTGTGTGTGTGTGTGTGTGTGTGTGTGTGTGTAGTATGTGTATATACAGTATATATATATATATATATATAGAGAGAGAGAGAGAGAGAGAGAGAGATTATATTTTAAATGTCTCCATAGATATATGTATTTTATATCTGTTTATAACCTGTTTGTGGATGATCCCCCTCACATAACTATTAATATTACAATTATTGTATTATTAGACAGGTTGAAGGAAAAACCACCAAAGGACTTCCAGTTGTAAAATGCGCAGGTCATAAAATGGTTTGATTTGAAGTTGCCTGATTTGACCCTTTTCCAAGGTCAAAACAAAGCTCAGCGCTCCCAGTTGTTGAGCTGTTAGCTTATTAGCCCAAGAGTTTTTCCACTGGCATGTGACTTTCATGCAGGTTCGAACTGTTGCTGAGCTGCTAATAGTGAGTGCTAATGTGTTCGCTATTTGAGGGCATTCAAGGCAATTCATGAAGCACCGACGCCATGAAATGCACAGGTATTGATTGCGTCTCCCTCCTTGAATCTTCTTTTTTTTTCAACTTTAGCCTATAAACTCAACTACATAACTAGACATTGATGGGCTTCTTTCAATAAAAATAAATACCTCAAAATAAAAAGAGTGATGGAGTGCCGGTGTGTTGGCATGCAAGCAAAACATGGCAGTCGAGTTAATTCTAAAATACAAAGTTTTTTTTTTTTTTTTCTTCTCAGAACCAGAGCGTAATGAGCCCGTAAATGATGTGTCCGCTTTTCACGAAACATTTGGAGCATTCCGAGTGTTGCTCGACCATTTTGTGGTTGAGCAAAACAAGTTTCCGTTCAAATGCTTCGATGCAGGAACGTACTTGCAACTTGATGTTTCTTGTGCTCGCAACGCGATACACATTAACAAAAACACACGCCTTTTTTTTCATAAGAATAGCCAAGATGTAATTAATGTCAGTTCAACATCCCAGAATACAAATCTCACAAGTCCGGTCAGTATTTTGGGTAACTACCACTTCATGTTCAACTTCCAAGCTGAAATGCGCCGGCGCTTCTGTCTAATTTTATGGTGGGCTGGTGCGTAATTGCCGTCCGGAATGGGCGTCTCAGCCTTTGGCCCTGTTATTACACGGTGTATAAATGGCAGTTTCATCTGGCGGGCGCTCTGACTCAGCCTCCCAAGAAAGACGACTCCCCTGCTGCCGCCTCCCACGCCGCCGCGGAATACAGAGCCCCCTATTTATAGCGCTGGCCGGGGGCCCGTAACCCGGGGCACGCCCGCGCTTTGATTTCAGCTGCCGTCCCGAGCAAGCCACCTCCGAGCGCGGTCAGACGAAAGGCGAACGGCGACGAGAGAGGACGATCGGAGTTGTTGGACGGAAGGCTACGATGGAGACGCCGAGCAAGTTGACCGACGAACAAGCGAACCCGTCGGTCGGCGACGGCTTTGCCGCATGAGAGACTCGCCGACCTGATCTGAGGAAGGCTCGCGGCACAGGGCTGACCTTGGAAGACGCCCGAGAACTTTTTTAAAGCGCCAGCACGGAAAGATTTTGTGGGACAGACTTGATGACAAACCTCGATGGTTGACATTGCTCCAAGCCAAGCGCAATTCCCATTTAAATCCAAGGGAACTAACTTCTTTTCATCGTACGCCACTTCCTTTCGAATGGACGGGGAAGGGTTGTTGGGAGCGTGAAGCTCTGCGGCAAATGAAGCGCAGGCCCTTCTGATTCAGCGCGACCTCTAGAAGGCAGGCGCCAAAGCGGCCGAGCCGACTTCCCCAGCGATTTGGACGGCTGCCGTCGGGGGACGACACCCGCCGGCACGCGATGGATGCTCACGGCGGGCACTACCTCAACAAAGAAGCCGTGCTGTCGCCTTTGGGCGCGGCCCGAATGTGCCAGCTGCTCTTTGGCTCCAGCATCATGGCCCTGGTGTCGCACGGCGCGGGCTACGGCGCCACCTACGGGTACTTCTGCATGTTCGCGTGGTGCTTCTGCTTTGCCGTCACGCTGGTGGTGTTCAGCCTGGACATCACGCGACTCCACGTGTGCATGCCCATCTCGTGGGACAACTTGACGGTGGCTTTCGCCATGCTGGCGACGCTCATGTACGTCACCGCCTCCGTGGTGTACCCCGTCTACTTCCTGGAAGCGGACTGCCCCGACGAGGGCTGCGAGGAGCAGGCCTACCGCATCGCCGTGACCGTCATCTCCGGCGTGTCGGTCTTCCCTTACGCCGCCGAAGTGTTCATCACCCGTGCCAAACCGGGCGCCGTGGTGGGCTACATGGCAACCGTCTCCGGTCTTCTCAAGGTGGTCCAGGGATTTGTGGCCTGCATTATTTTCGGAGCGCTGGACAATTACGGCGAGTACGACAACTACGTAGCCACCGAGTACTGCGTGGTGGTGTACGGCCTGTGCTTCTCCGTCACCGTGCTCGTGGTCATACTGACCATATCGGGCAGGACGTCGTCCCTGCGCTTCCCCTTCGATCGCTTTGTTATCATCTACACCTTCGTGGCCGTGATCCTCTACCTCAGCACCGCGCTGGTGTGGCCCATCTTCAGCTTTGACAAGAAGTACGGCCTGACCGATCGCCCGGAGGTCTGTCCGCGTGGGCAATGCCCTTGGGACAGCAAGCTGGTGGTGGCCGTGTTCACCGCCGTCAACCTCGTCCTTTACTTTGTTGACCTGATCTACTCGCAGAGGATTCGCTTTGTCACCAGTGCTGCTGTCTGAATGTCCATCCATCCATCCATCCATCCATCCGTACTTTTTCTCCTCCTCACGAGGGTCGCGGGGGTGCCGGAGCCTATCCCGGCCGTCTTCGGGCTGCACCCTCAACTGGTTGCCAATCGCAAGGCGCGCACAGACAAAAGACCATTGGCGCTCACAATCACACCCGGGGACAATTCGGAGCGACCGATCAACCTTCCGGGCCCGTTGTTGGAATGCGGGAGGAGTAGCTGGAAAAAAGCCACGCGGGCACGGAGAGAGCACGCAAACAGACTCCACACAGGGAGGCCGAGGCGCCGAATCTCGACGTGCTAACCGGTCGCCCGCCGGGCCGCCCCTGTCCGAATGTCCGTGTCAAACATCGGTTGGACCCATTCTCTGACTGAAGACGAGGCTCAGCAGGACTAAGCAGGCCGAAAACTTCAGCCAAAACTGCGCGGGGCTTCCGAGACTGTCCTATGGCCGCTGCCCAAAACGGGGGATGATTCCACCTTGCACGCAAAGGCCCGCTTCTTCGATGTCTCCGAAAGACTATTGTCCAGTGACGTGGGGTGTGTCGAGAGGGATTTTGCCTGTGCTAGCTGATGCTTACGCTGGTTTTGGCGAGTGCTTGTGTCATGTGTTTAATAAAGCGCAGATAGCCAAGCTTCCGCTATCGCTTCTTCGACTGATTCCGGCAGTCGGGACGCTGCCTCTCACAGGTCGGTCTAGGCATTACAAAAGACATTGCGGGGGGGGGGGGCAATTCCAGTCGCGGAGGGCCGCTATCCTGCATGTTTTCCATCTCTCCCTGTTGCGACTCACCTGATTCAAATGAACAAGTTCAAGATCGGGCTTCCGCAGAGCTTGTTGATGATCGGATCATAACTACTATTTGGGGGGGTGGGGGAGGAGACAGCGAAAATAATCGTAGTAATAGTGCCGCAAGAGGTTTTGCCGTCGGGAAGACGTAATTGGTGAAAGGGTCGATGGTTGGCTCATGTCGGCGGTGGTTCAAAAGTCAAGTCAGCTTTATGGTCAAATACGCTCTATGCACAACAGGCAGCACAGATGGAATTTCTTTCCTCTCAACCATGCACAGTGCAAACACACACAGCGGAAAAATAAGGGCAGCGAAACGGAACTGCATAAGACATAAAAACGTAACTAGAAACAAATAAAAACAATAAATAGCAATCGACAGGGTTAAAGTTGGGTCGTGCATCGTTTAAGTGCAATGAGCGGACGTCGGGGCGACAGTCTGTGGCAGAGTGCGGGCAGAACAGGGAGCGGCTCTTGCTCTCCTCGGTTTGCGGAGGAAGTCCAGGCACTGGTGGGCATTGTTGGCCGGTGATGTGCTATTGCGGGCCCAGGACACGTCTTCGGCGCTAAAAGGGCAAAAAATACAAACTTTTACCGGTTTACCGCCAAATCGAACCCTTCCCTTCCTTGCCAGCGAGTCCAGCAAACGAGCGCCCAAGACGAGTTCGTTGACAACGCTGAGCTGAGCTCATTGTAACGATGGCCCCTCAGAAGCGCCCCGAATGATGACTTGACTTTGAAACATTCCCCTGCCTTGACTAACTTGGCCAAGTAGGGCAGTTCCCGCGATGCAGTCGCCATTTGCACTTGACTGACGCCAGCGGATGCGAGCGTCGCCCCATCTGATCGCAACCGACGGACGGCGCTCGTCTCGCCCCCCCCCCCCCCCCGCGCGCGCCCCCCCCCCCCCCCCCCCCCCGCGGCACAAACTGATGCAACCGGTCGGCCTTTAAAGTAGCCCGCCCTCAATTTGTGGTTTCCGGCGACGGGATTGGTCGCTTGTGATCACGTGGAAAAAGGTGCGCCTGAATTGGCTCTCGCATCCGTCCGTCAATGTTTCGCCCTCAGGTGCGAGTGACGGCGACAAGAGAGCGACAGTTCTTGCAGTGGTTTGTCTTTATGTCCGTTTCTCTCTTTTTCTTGAAGTGTATTTCGGTACGTGGCTACCGGTGACATTGTTGAACAACTTGGATTGGCTTCCAACGAAACGAACGAAGAGTTAGCCTTCAGCTTTCAGCAACTTACCGATCGTTTTCAATCGCTGTTCTCACGTTCTCTTCGCAACGCAGGTAAATAACGCCTGGAAGGATTTCAACCAATAGTTAGAATTGCGGACTTTTGAGCTCATGTACGGCCTATATGGACTGCAAATATAGTTGGCCCATTATTTGACATGATTTTGGAACACATTTTGATGTGAAACGCTTGAAAACAGTATTTGTCGCCCTCAAAGTTATAAAACTCGTCTACTTTCATCATCTGTCTGATCATATTCTAGTGAGTTGACATTGGAGCTTGTAAGTTTACTTTTATAAACCTGTGATGCAGTTCATTTAGGTTCCGAGGCGCCTCCTTCTTCGGATAGCACATTTTGCCCCTCGACCCCCCCC